CAAATCCTTGTCCTTGCTCTTCTTCAGATAATACGAGCAGCCGAGCTCCAAGGCTGTCAGTTCACCTAGTCTGTTTTCTCGGCACGCGATGTACATTGCAATAGCAATGACGTACGCGTTCGAGGTCAGCTGCATCGGTGTAACCCCAAAGTAGTCCAAAAACGACCTGATGAAAAGGTGTAGGGGGATAAGTCCTCCACCCTTGATGATCTCCTCAGAGATCGCGGCCAGGCCTTTTGCTGGATATCGCGACGAGTGCGTCAGGTCGTGGAACACGTCCACTTCGATGCCGAATTGGCTTATTACCCTCTCAAGCTCTTCCTCGGTGAGTATCGAGAAAACCTCAAGAGGGACGCTAGGAGCACCATGCGGGGACGAGCTGGTTCCCTGCTCAAGTCTGGTATCTGAGGGGTCCATTTTGCCAGTTTGCAAAAGTGACAAGCAAAGGGATTATTTGGTCTCTGTACGCTATATTGTACGATGACATGGGAGGAAATAAACTCACTTAAACCCTAAATAAATACCCTAGCAAATGGCAGGTCAAACCCGACGTAGACGACTGGTCTCCGATGGGTTACCGGAAGATCGACGCCATTAACTCATGAAAAAATGAGATGGTGGCAAGAAAACTTTTACCTTTCGGAGTACAATGACGGTGTCTGCTTCAGATGCCGGAAAAATGCAAGTCTGGAAGACAAAGGTTCTTGGCCTGCGAAAATCTTTTGTTCTCTATGAAAAAGGCTTTGGTGACATTACCCGAGAACGATTTGTGGTTTTTATAGTGCGTGGATCGGCATTTGGATTTCCCGAAATTGAAACGATGTTTGAGCGGTAAAGGTTTCTTACCGTTGATCTTGGCCACGTGTCACTCGTCAGTGAGGAAGGGTGAGCGAAATGACTAGATGAAGTTAGACTTTCACCTTTCCAGTTGAAAAGCTTAAACGACGACCATATCTCTCTCAGTGCATTAATTGCGCCTCAAATCTTCATTTAATGCTCTGGTAAGGTGCACTGTTCCAACGCATATTGCATTTAATGTCCTGATAAAGTGCACTGTTTCAGCATGCAAGGCATTAAATGTGATTGGCTGACATTCCCCACGTAAGGGGTACAACTGTCAACGCAGGGATGGCTTCATTAAATACCTTCTTGTTACCAGAATAAACAGGTGACGTTAGATGGAACCAGGTCTCTCGTCCTTGAGCATGCGAGGTTGCGCTCGTGCATATGCCGCTCTGACCTACTTTTGAGTAGATTAAAGTTTTCAGAAATCATCTAACCACGGCACGACCTGTAGTTTCCAAGGTTCAATCCTCAAACCTTAAAAACTAGGGGGCTTCTGTTACGCCTAAAAATATAAGGGCTGACGTCAGGACCCTTTAGCCCGCAAAAGTCAGATCATTGGAACAGCCACCATCTGCATCTGTCAGGATAGTGGGTGCGCGTCAGGCTACTCAGGAGGCTGTGGTGCTCCCACGTGTCCAATCCCTGCTCTAAATTGCGCAAATCACTCTGGAAGGTGGGCAATGTGACATAAAGAAGGATTTGCACGGATAATCTCACAAACTCGTAGATTTAGTGATGATTGCCTCAAGACATCTGTCTATAAATTAAGAATTCATCTCTTATTAGGGGGATTCGCACATTTTTCACTAGATTAATTACTCTCTCTTTTCTTAACAATTGATACCTTGTAACATCATTATAAAGTCAGTCAGCTAATAGCGACCTGACCCCTATCATCAATACAAGCATCAGTGGACATAGGACTTGCTACCTTAGCATCCGAACCACTTTAAAAACTGTCTCCACTGCATTTACTATCTCCTATCCATTACTATCACGTGTGATTTCGGGGCCCCCCATAGCATTTCACACGTGCGTTTTATTGGTGCAAAATCCCGAATCAACAAACCCCATCTAAAATTCTAAAGTTAGAAATAATATGATATGGAAGAAAACTATGTGAAACTTAAAATAATTAAGTTCAAAATCCTATGATATTGGAGAAAACTATGTAAAAGCTAAAAATAGAAGTGCTTATTTTAAAAGACATGGTCCACATGGATCATTAACTACCAAACATCTTTCCTAATATTTCTTGAACAACAATTCCTTGTAGCCAGACGATTTTATGAATATTTACATATTTATCTCCTAACAGTTTAAAAAATGTTAGCTTTACAAAGATATATACAAAGATGGACATACAAAGATAAATCATACCCTTAATCTTCATGATTGTCTCTCTCTCTCTCTCTCTCTCTCTCTTCTTTCAAGGGTTGAATTTATCTTTGTATGCATCTTTGTAAGTGTAGCATTCCTCTTATTTTAATACCTAACGTTAAGGACAAAAATATTTTTGGGTGTGTTTGTTTTAGTATTTTTGCACTATCCTATCCATATCCTACCCAAAATATACATTTGTTTCCCTATTATGAAAATCTTATTCTATTTTATTCAATTATTTTTAAACCTCCCAGGTTTGTTAATTTAACTAAACACCCCCCCCAAAAAAAAGTTTAGAAATTGACAAAACACCCTCACCCACCCACATTTGCCAGATTTCGGCCACCACTGCTGAAAGGTGGCCGAAATCTGGTATAATGACGCACTACTGGCTAGATCTGACTGGTAGTGCATCGATTTAGCATTTTCTGACCAGATCCACCGTGGATCTAGTCGAAAAAATCCAGATCTACAACCAAAGATCTTCCGTTGACAACCAAATCTAGCCTAACTAATTGTCAACAATGACCATATTGGCCATCGTTGACAACCAAACACGGCTAGATCTAGCCGTAGATCTGTTCTTTTCCGACTAGATCCATAGTGTATCTGGTTGGAAAATGCTATATCAATGCACGATCGACCAGATCCAATCGATTGTGCACTGATACGGTGACTCTGGCCATTCTCCGACGATGGTGGCTAACTATCGATATTTAATGGGTGGGTGAAAGTGTTTTTGTTAATTTTTAAATCTTACCTCGTAATAACCATTGTTTTAAAACCCGGATTGGAGGACAACCCGTTTTGTTGCCCGAGTCACGGGTCAACCGGTCCAACCGGTTGGACCGATGATGGCAACGACAATTTTATTTTAAAAAAATTACATGTTAATCCCTTAAACTTTAATATATTACAAAAATTCCCCTAAAAAAGTTTAATTAGTCCCTAAAATTTTTATTTATTTAAAAAATACCCCAAAATATTGCCAACTAATCCTTAAACTTTTGACATATCTCCAAAACACCCCTATAAAATTACAAGTAACCCTTATACTTTTAAAATATTGCAAAAACCCCCCTAAGACTTGAACCGGACTGGAGAAGCTGCCTAGTCCCGGTCCGACCGACTGGTACGGTTCGATTTTTAAAACAAAGGTAATAACCACCCAACTAAATTATTTCAAAAATATCCAGAATTTTGATCATTTAGCCCAATATCGGGGATTTTTTATTTTAAAACTTTAAAAGTTAATATCATTATGTTTCATATTTTTAATTACTAGTACAGTAAAACCTTTCTATAGTGGTACTTTATATAGGAATAAACTCTTCATAGTCATAAAAAATTCTAGTCCCAATTTGGGATAGTTATAAATAAAAATAAACTCTACATTGTAATAAGTTATAATTTTTCTTATTCCTGCCTTAAGGAAAGTTGCCTTTACATAATAATAATTATCTGTATATTACAAAAAAATATATGTTATGTAAAATTAAAGATTTAAAATGAAATAAAATATTTATTTAAAATTGTTTGGGACAATGATTTATGCTTTAGAATTGTTATCACATCTTTTACCTTACGAATACGTAATAGCTCGTTAGCATGGATACCTTTTTGTTGAAGTCAAAATATTTTTAGTTTCTCAAACATGTTTAGAGCTTCATGACACAAAACTTTTTGTATTTCCGTATTATTATCCTTAGGATTATTTTATTTATCTTCTTGTCTAATTGCAACAATGATTTCTCATTTGATTAAAACATACACGATTTGTTGCTCATTTGGATAATCGAAGGAGACATTAATATCTATTCGATTAGTATAGTGAAATTGTCAAATCTGATCACTCAATTTTATAGTGACTCTTTTATTCTCCTCATCCACTTCATTTGGAACTTACAATTCATTGAAATTAGTGATCCTAATTTTGTAGCGCTTAAAACCATTGACAATTGTCTGTGACTTCACATCAATTGACCATACATCAACTGCATTTACAATTCCATCAATGACACTTATTTTTGCTAGTTCTAAGAAACGATCTTTTATCTGTTTTAAAAGTAGACAATTAAAACGCTAAATTGAAATCATAATTTACTAAAATATGAATTGAAATCTTAATACTGTACTACTAAAACATGAATTATAAAATAAGAAATTAAAACTATATTTTTTGTAACTACACCTCTATTAAGTTATAACCTCCTTATAGTAATAAAATTAGTTAATTCCACCATTATGACTATATAGAAGTTTTACTATACTATACTTGAAATGATATACGATTACCTGAGTAGTCAACTGATTGAATTTTGATACAATTTTATCTAATAAATTAAATAATAATAATACAAATTTTTTTATTAGCACAGTAATTAAATAACTGTGATTTATAATAATAATATTCTACCATTACTCTGATATTCTTCAATAAAAATTGAAATTGTTTTTTTTTTAATTATTATTTAAGGAATTAAATGGTGGTATTAGTTAAGGAATTACATGTATACGATTGAGATTCATAATAATTGAACTCATATTATTAAAAAGGTTAGGATATTGTAACACAAATTTTTGACATAACACACACACAAAAAAAAAGTTAAAACATTATATTGAACAGAAACACAACAAAATTTTATATTGTAACATGAGCAATTACCAAATATAAACACATAAATCAAGAAAACTAAAACAAGTTAGAAAATGTTACTAATAACACAAACTCCAAAAAGAAATTACAGAGAAGAGTAAGAAAGAGCACATAAAGATTTACAATACTACTAATTATGTTGTTTTAATCCACATAAAAATACACAATCACATATTTTCCTACCACTTCAATGACTTTCAGTTTCTCTGGTCTAAACAAGAATGTTTTTTACTTTTTCCCGTGTACTACCAAGGTTTTACTTACAGAAAGTAGTGATACAGAGTTTGTACTCACAGTTTTTTAGTAGAAGCTTCATGTATGTAAGCCATGGCTTCTTTTTCTGAGAGTTGTTCCCCTTCTACCAGCCCTCTTATTAAGGTGTTGGCATACTCCACAGCTGGAACACGCAAAGGAAACTCCCCAGATTTGAAACTTTCAACATCCAAAGGTGAGCACCTGGATCAAAATAATTAATGGTTAAATGAAGAAATTCTGATACAAAGGAAATGAATGACAAAAATGAAAATGTGGTTTTATGCATACGTAATAGTTAATATGGGGGTATTGCGCTCCTTTCCCAAGTAAACAACATTATGATACCAGCCCTTCTGCAAAGAAAAACCAAAGTAGATTGTACACAATTTCTTGGAAATATGATATCAATAAGAGCTTAAAATCGTCAGCACATAGAAATTTAAAAAAAAAAAAAAAAAAAAAAAGATTAGGAAAAAAAGCATCGCATAATACACACCTTTAGAGCCTCTAAAGAAATGGACCTTTTGTCTGCACTAGAGTTTAAAGCAGTAATATCTAAAAAAGGAAAATCCTTTTCATCAGTTGCAACATTTTCCTGAAGCAAAACATCATTGAGCTGTTCTAGCCTGTCGTAGAAGCGAAAGAATTAAAAAGATCAGTGGATGATTTCATTGAAATGATTCCACTAACACTAGCCCAAAGTTTCATTAGGAAATCACTGACATTCTTTCTATAACAAAGAACTCCTGTAAAATAGATTTATCTCGAAAATGGTAAAGATGGACCAATACAGTATAGAAATGAAAAAAAAAAACCAGGAAATGACATACGTAATTCTATTTAGGCACAGGTAAGCTTTTTCCTGGTCATTAGATTCAGGATTAAGGAAAGCAACCCCTCCAGTACCCCACGTGCGAGTAGAATTACGACCAAAAAATAATCGGTGAGGAAAAGTTTTCCACAAAGTCTCTTTTGGTGGATTTCTATCCATTGAACCAGAGCATGCCTTTTTCATGCCTTCCACCTGAAAATCCATTTATAACTATTAAAATATTAGAAAAATAAATAGCTTTGCAATAAATTAAATCATGGCTGAGACATGTGGAAGGTGATGATTATAAAAGCCATCACAGACTTCTAAACAAATGATCAACAAATAAGAATTCCCAACAGCAAACCAGCGTATGAATCCTGTTTAATTCACTCTCTAAATTCTTTTTAAAAAACGAAATATAAAGCCTTTGACTATGGTTAAACCAACAATCTCCGTGCCATTGAGCAATATATCCTCTATGCTAAGAACACTACACATTTATGCAAAAATATTAACCCAAAAATTGGAAAGAAGCGAGATAGGAGTTTGAAAGCACAAGACATGATTTCATGGGAGCTATAACAAAACCAAGACACTTATAATCACCCTGTCAGCTTTGTATTCATTATCATTATTCTTTTCAATTCTCTCTGGTCCCATCGTCCTTTTTCCTGTGACCAAGCTTAATTTTAAGGGATCAAAGATGACTACTTGATATTGATAGAATTATTAAGCTTAAAAAAAAGGAGCCCTAAATGCTGATTCAAATGGTTTAAGCTTAAGGAACATTTCATGCATTTCAAAGCATCTTTAATTTCAATCCAATCTATTTCAGAGCATCACTAATTCAGCATTGAGACCCTCATTGTAATGTCAAGTTACTACCTGTCCACCTTGAATATAGCAAAGGAATCTTGGTTTCCACATATTAGATCCAAATGAGGCATACCAAACGTCAACCTTCGAGAGCTCTGATCTCCAAGGGGCAGACTCTGTGGCCACTATAGCTGCATTCAATTTGAGCTCATCAAATGAAATAGAAATCATAGAAAAAAAAGAATTTTCAGACTTGGCATTTTGACTTCAAATTTTTACCATGACCATCTTCAACTTTCAGCTTCGAAAGGGGTTCTATAACATCCTGAAGAACTGCTTCAAGATTTTCTGACACCACATCCGGAGTCTTCTCATACTCATCTTCAGAATCAGAGCTAGAGATCATATGCTGGAATGACAAAGCAACTATTTCAATAGGGTGTGTAATTAACCGAATATTGTTGTATGGCAATGGTTAAACATAAGACAAAAACCAAATAAATCTTATAGTTAGTCTATAGTTCTTTTCTGAAAATGTATTTGACCAGAACTACATTTTCATTTTTAAATATCAAATACTAGAAGTGAATGATATTCTTCTTAATCAAAACAATTAGGAATTATCCAAAAATTGCATTATATATGCTTTTGATAAGTAACACATACCTATGCTATACAGATTCCTCTGAAAATTTTTCTCATTCAAGTCAAGCCAAAAAAAAAAAAAAAAAAAAAGAAAAATTTACAACAAAATTTAAAGAAGACTGCCTTCTATTCTTGTTTCCTTTGTTTTCACCATATGAACAATGTATTAATTAAAAATTAAAAGCATGCATTCTTTCTCCAGTGTGCACATGATAGCCCATGAATATTGAATTGTTGTACCTTTTATCTGAAAAGAACTCCTACCTCAAAAGTACAAGTACCACTTAAAATGGAATTTTTCTAAATAAAATAAATTGTTTGTTTAAAAATCTATTAGCTACACCAAAATGTGACGCAAGAGGGACATTTAAGAATATTCCCAATTAAAAGAGAAAACAAAGCCTCACCGCAGGTGGAGCTTTTTGACTTGTTAACTTTGTTGGCAATTCATCAGCCAGTGTTGGCCAGAAAGCACTTAATTTGTGGCGAACCTGAAAAACAAATATATCAAGTTATCATTGATACAGGTGTGGGGTAGCAGGGTAGAAAAAGAACTTATTATTTAGCAAATGTAAAGAACCAAGATAGTAAAATATCTTGTTTTTACCGCTTGTATTACACGCCATGTAGACTCAAATGGATAGGCCTCTGAAGATCCAGAGATAGGCTTGTGCTCCAGCAAAACTTCCATGCACGCAAGGACTGAATTTGATATAGATTCAAGATTGTATCCTCCTTCCAATGCCAATACGATTTTACCTTGAGCAAAATCCATCAACTAGAGAAATGAAAAGTAAAGGCAGAATGAGCTAAATAATTGAAAGTCAAAATCCATAACCAGATGCTGCAGCAAAAAGAGCAAAACAAAAATCTAACAAGATGAGAAATATTAATGATATCATCCATGTTATCAATAAAAGTGCAACAGCCCCTCTTTCAACAATTAAGGTTACATCGCCATGAAATCACTACCAAAAAGCTAAAGAATTTTAAATGCTAACCTTATTTAACATGACCGAGTATCCGTATGGTGTGACATGACAGCCCCCTAGAGGATCACCAGCAGCTGTTTCAAGAATTACACTAGAAATATTAATAACAGTAAAAAATGATTATAAAAGAGTCACTACAAGCACCACCAAGTCACCCAAGAATTAAAAAGTAATTCTGTTTGATTTAAGAAAGATAAGTACATTGAATCAACCATAGCAGCTAGTACAGGAAAATAGCAATGTGCAGAAAAAGGGTGCATCTCAACCTATTATGAATTTTATGCATTTTGTTCATGAGGAAGAAGGTATGAACTTGCTTAAGCATGAGTGTTCCAACCACTGCAGATTTGATAGCATGCGCAATCTTGAGGAATATAATAGGAAGAATCATGTAACAAATAAAAAATTACATATAAATAGAAGAATTAGTACAAACAGTAATAAAACACTACTATCAACTAGACATTGAGGTGGGCTCAGGCACCAAGGCTACATTTCACAACCATGCCAGCTCCTACTTCTTTTGTTCTATACAAGTAAACACTTTATTACACGTAAACGAAAAATGCTTTTGATCAAGGCCCATACATAAGAAAATCAACCTTCCTTGCAGTTAAAATAATATGTTTGAGATCTTTCTATCGTGATCATAATCTTGATAAATTTTCTAACTGAATTTGGCCAACTTTTTTTGGTTTCTATCTGAAAATCAATAGCTATATACTCAAAATTATTATTTTTGCTTTGTTTTTAACTACCCTACCATCAAATATTACCTAGATATAGGAAGTTTCAATGACAATTCCCCCTCCTGAAAAATAATTGATAATAATATTAATAGATGACGAGGCTTTTAGTTTTCACTGAAGTTGTTTCTTTCATTGAATGACCCCAATAAATAAATACCTGCTGAATTCAGTTAGTTTGTTTTGTTGACTTCTTTCCAATGTCATCACTTTACCCAGTTGAGTAATTGTAAACTTTTGCTGAGCAAGTAATATGTCATATATATCCTGCTTAGAGCAGATTATATGAAAAAGACTTCATTTGACACATATGCTAGAATGGTCATTACCATAGCGTTTGACAAATATTAGAATGAAAACGTAAGACACACTAACATAGTACTGTAGGTAAAGTAAAAGCTCCAAACCTGCATCAAATCCAGCAGATACTATAATTATGTCGGGAACAAATTCCTTGGCAACAGGAAGCAAAATATGGTCCCAAACTGCAAGATAGTCTGCATCACCACACCTCCCATTCTCCCAAGGAACATTAATGTTGTATCCTGCACCAGGTCCTTCACCAATCATAGTATAAAAACCGTCATCATTAGCAGGATAAAAAGTCCCAAACTCATGCCTGCATAAAAGGAAAACTTCATGTGATTAACATATAGGAGACCAGTACCATTGTCCCATGTGATAAAACATATACCTGTAGATTTTAGAGCCAAAGACTTTGAACAGAAAGAAGATAGAAATAACAAAAAAGGCAACAAACTAAAAAACTGATATATCGCAGCAGAGTCCTTGAGGAGAATAAAGAATTACTTACAGCAAATGTAACTTTTTCTATAAAACAAGATTTAAAAAAAGCCAGATATATCATGATCTAAAATCTACCAAGGTATCCATTATGAAGCTTTGCATGTGCAATATTACGTTAAAAGTCTGAAAATGAAGTAAGAGAAGAGATTAAGTTAAAATGTCTAATATACCTATGAACAGAGAAGAATAGGACACGAGGATCTTTCCAGAACATCTTTTGAGTACCATTACCATGGTGGACATCCCAATCAACAATCAAAATTTTGTTTATTCCCAGTTCTGGCTGTAATATACATATCAGTAAAGGGGTAGTAAGGACACTACTAAATAAGAGAAACATAGGCTAACCTCAAAAAGCAGTGTTTCATATTACATACAAGGAATAATATGTCCATGCTTGATTAAAAATAAAAAATAGAAAGAAAACTGGCCCTCACTCTTTCATTTAATAGAAAACTTGCTGCAATAGCCACATTGTTATATAGACAAAATCCCATTGCTTCATCTTGTTCAGCATGATGGCCAGGAGGCCTCACAACAGCAAAAGCAGAATTCAATTCTCCTTTGGCAACTCTGTCTGCCACCTATTGATATAACATTCAGAGTTAGGCTTTTAATTCATAATTAAGAAAAAGTAGTAACAAGTCTACTCTAACCATTATACTTTCTGACTCAACAAAGCAAAGACAACTTCATGCATATAAGATTGCTTGATTGCTACAAGATGGCATGTCATTGACCAAACTTAAGGAAAACAAAGAAGAAATAAATGGTCGCATTAAATTTCAATGACTTGAAAAGTATCACAAAAAGAAAGGACTTCATCCATTTAAAAGTCCATTGATTCACTATTTTTTCAATATTCTAACAGAATGTTTAGGAAAGTTGGTATCATACAAGCAAACTAAACTTGAAAAAAAGAAACTTTTAGAAATTTTTATGGCCACTTGACAGTGTATATAAATTTGATTATGGCTTAATGTAGTTCACTTAAAATTTGCTATAATAACATTTAATTGGAAGGGAAGCGAAATGTAAATCAACAAATTCAATAAACTTCCCTTTATAGTCGATCAAGTTTCAAAGACATCACAGAAACAGCCTTCTAGTGCCTTGGAATTGATCAGTCCAAAATACAAAAGGTGATTATAGCCACTATATTTTAAGCAAACCCCATTAAATTGTATTAACATTAACTTTTACTCTCTGAAACTTATATCATAAAGACACTCTTCACAGATTGATCACTAATATGCTTAAGCACATTTAGCACATTTTAGCATATAAGTGTATCATCTAAAGATAAGAGAATCACATAGGGAAAGACAGAAGATCATTCTTTAGCTGAGTAAACAAAAAAGCACAGATAATTTCCAAATTATACATAAGAACTCAATAAAATTTCAACTATGAGTCCCGACTTTACCTCAATAACAGAACCAGCAGCAAGGTAAGCAGCCTTAGATGAACCTTCATTCAAGTAAATTGAATTGAAATTTGATGCAATCCTATTTCTTCGCAAATCAAACTGCTTAGTGCTTACATTCCTAATCAGGTTAACATGATTTTTGGAGTGCACAGACAATATATATTTGTCCTCAGCTTCTTTGGCATTTAAAACCACACATCTACAAGATGAAAAGCAACATACAACATTTAGAAAAGCAATCAAGACAATTTAAAAAAAAAAAAAAAAAAATTCTAAGGCCTCCAACCAAAGAGACTATTCACATTAAAAAGCTGTACACAAGTAAGCTATAACCCAATTTAGTGTACCAAAAACATAAAAAGATAAAAGCAAATCTATATAAAAATAAAGCTTGACAGGTCAATGACACTTCATGTATAATTAATGTGAAATCCTTAAATAATGTAGTCTCTCCTGCATTTTCAAGAATCGATATAAAACTCCTCAGAAGTTAAATAAAAAATTTAAATACACTTCCCTAGCAAGAGAGACTGTAATTTAGTCAAAACTCATGCCGTCAAAACCAAATTTACCCATTTTTTTCTTTTTATTAATAAGTTCACAAAGATAAACGCTAAACAGAAAATTAATAACAAATTTACAGGTCTGTTTGGTTACCGAAAAAATGCAAGAAAAAGGAAAAGAAACAAAATTCAGACTTATTTCAGCTCAGCCTCACAAAAAAATAAATATACATGAAACATTACCAAACACTCAAAACTGTTCCTGTTCATTTCGCTTTTTCCCTTCATCTCATAAGCAACCAAACAAACCAATTACTACAGCTAAAAGAACATAATTTGATATTAAAAAACATTATAAATATCAAAATACACCTTCGAGGAATGCCAGCTTTTTGAAGCTTGTTCCAAATAGCTTTAATACGATAGGGATTCTCAGGATGATGATCACCATCAGGCGTGTGATGCTTACACATCCTGTCGTCGTAGAGTAAGCCCACGCGTCGTTTAATAGTCTTGCTCTCACTTGATTCCACCTCCATGTTTGTGTTCGTCCTCGTGCCCTAATCTCAATCTCTATCCGTCTCAAAGTGATTGAACTATAGAGAAAGAAATGGGCTCGAGTGAAGATCTGCTGGGAAGTGCGTACGAGGAAATTTGAGATTTGAATTAAATTATTATTATTATTATTATTATTATTTGCTCCTTTATTTTGGAAGATTTGGGGGGGAAGATGAAGAAGCTTCTAGTATGACGTCAACGACTGGGAATTTTCGGCAACTGAACTTCCAATCAATGCCATTGGATAAAAATCGACTCAAAAAGTATATTATATTATAATCTAGCTAAAAGGCCCGCACATTGCACGGGTTGTTTTTGAAATTGGTTTGTTTATCTTTTATGGTTATGAATTTAATTTTGATATTATGTTTTTTTTTTTGAAATTTCGATATTTTGATTTATTGCTATTTGTATTTTATTTTATATATTATTTTGGTAATAGTTTTGATTGATATAATATATTATGACATATTTGTTGTAGATACAGTGAATACAAAAATTAATAATAGTAATTTCTTTTTCATTATTACACATTTATATATACTCATTGAATCGAATTTGCTAATATTAATTATAGTGAATATTGATTTGGATAATATTAAATTTTTTTAACCTAATTACATCTTGTCTTCATGTGGATACCGATCGTACATTTCTACGTTGGATTTGTTTATGAATTTGATTTTGACATTATGTTTCGAATTATATATCATCAAATATTTGTTGTAGTGCTTACGGAAATGTTCAATTAATAAGTAATACTTTATTTAAATTTTATTTGAAAAAGCAATATTTTATTGTAATTTTTTTATATTTTGAATTGAACAATTAATAATAGTATTTTTTTTCTAATTTTTTCACATCTATACATATTCACAAGTTGAAAGGCCTACGCGTTATGCGGGTTATTTATGAAAGTGGTTTTGACAAAAAAAAAAAAAATTAATTAATTAATTAATTAGAGAACAAAATAATAGTAAAATATTTTAGTGATAAGAATATATTTCCGTTTCAAAGTAGAATAAGAGGAGTTGCAGCACTTTTCTTAGGACAATTTGGGAAGCATTTCATTGGTATAAGATACCATGAACTTCAACTGTAGGTCAAGATTCATTCAAGCCAAAACCAAAATTAAACATATCCCAGCAAAAAATTCTTGACTTTTGCATAGCATTTGCAAAACCATCATGCTACAATTTTGACATAAAAGAATACAAAACGATAGAATTTAAGTCTCATCAATGAGCTTAAATTCGTAGACAACTCCACAACAAAATATTATTCAGGAGAATCTCATTTAACATGTTTATATAATAAAAAGATCAAACCATAATAGATTGCAAATTTGCAATGATCAAAACAGGTAAGACTACAAAAATTGCTTTACTCCAAATTTTGGTTTCACATAATCCTTATAATTCTCTTGTGTCACGAAGTCATGTATTTCAGGTTGTTCTTTAGCAGGTAAGTAGTCCAAATTACGGATTCACACCAACCCTTTTCCCACCAACTTCTTCAGCATCATCTTCACAAGTATGATCTCTGTCAGGTGTTAGTGAAAATCAGCTGATCATTCTCTTTATTGAGTATCAAAATTTTAAGCTATAACAAAGAATCTATTGAAAACAAAGTGCCAAACCACACCACAACCATAACTTTCTATAACATTGTCAAAATTCTGCACCCTTTCCAATTCAGACAAACAAATGAATTGGAAATAGTAAATATCAAACAATTTCAACAGACAAATACAGTAAATGATACCATTTTGGAACTTCCATTAACAAAAAATTCCATCTATTTCTCAAATGTATATAAGCATATTGAAAAGATTATCAGCCTTACAACGCAACTATATATTTATAGCATCAAAGAGAAAACAGAAAAGCTTACAGTATTAAAGATGAATTTAAACAAAAATCAAAACCCTTAAACCATACTCATTAGTTTGCACTCTAATCATCACTGAGCTCATCTTCAATGTCATGAGCGCTCATTCTCATTGACGCTTATTTTGCCCATTTCACGATCTTCTCTGCCTCTCAGCTAACCTTTTCTCCCTCCTTCAATGCCTTCTTCAGCATCTTTTGTTGCTCTTTCACTGAGGAAATACCCAAATCTGATAAGAACTCATCGTTTTTACTAATCATTGATCAATCTTCCTTGCTCTTTGGCTAGATAATTTTCTTTGAAGAACACCAAAAACAACCGCTCTTTCGAGGCAGAGAAGGCGAACCCTGTGATGAATTTGTAGAACTGAATGGAGAAGAAAACTATTTCGATTTCAATGAAAAGGGAGCTGACAGTTGGACAATGTCAAGATACCATCAATGAATCTATTGAATCATAATTCAAGTCAACTCATATTAATAGGCAAGACCAAAATCGTCAAAGTACCAATTTTTTCCCACTTTAGGAACTCCAGGTTTAGGTGGTTTACAGGCATTATCTGTTCCATCATCGTGATTTGGCTTTTCAAAATCAAATTTCAGTTTGTTTTTCTATTCAATAGGCTCAATCTTCATCTCTTCCACTTCCTTACTGTTGTCTGCTTCTTCACAAACCTCTCTGCCTTTTCTTCGTCCTTAAACAAAGATTTCTACCCAATAAAAAGGAAAAAAAATAAGCATTGATTATTAAGTTACCAGAACTTGCAATCAGAATTAAAGAAAGAAAAAATAAGCATTGATTATTAAATTACCATAACCTGCAATCAGAGCGGATAGTAGATTGGTTGTTGAAAGCGTTCGTTTGAAGCCCATCATCAAAAACCTCGGATATGCAAGTGGGGAACTGAAACTTCAAAAAGTTGTCGCTGGGAATAGAAGCCAAGCCAATAGCAGATGAATTCGAAACCTTGGGAAATGAAGCATACACCAAATCTCTACAACCCAAATTGATCCATTTGGGCTTCCACACCCAACCAACTAATATCCCAACAATCCACAAAGGTGCGATAAACATTATCAATTCTCTTAAAAAATCACCCATGGTGGGTTTGTTAAAAATCTCCCATAAAACCGAAGTCAAACCCATGTTATTTATTATATTTAATAAACCGAAGGATAAAGAATATACAAATAGGAAGAGAACCAGAAAACCCTCAATTGATATGTATTCTCTAGCCACATTTAATTGAGATGTTTTCTCTGATTTCGGTGTAGATATTTCCGATTTCGTCGGTAGCTGCTTGCTTTCAAACTTAACTGCGGAACCAACGGGGTTTGAAGAATTATCAAACTTGACTTTCTTCTCCTTCATGGCTGCAAATGCCATAGTTAAAGAAAAAAGAAAACATAAACTCATGAGGGGTAGAAAAACAAAATATTAATATTGGATTAAAAGCTTGCGATTTGTTACCTTTCTTGTTCCCTGAGCCTAATCTGAAATTTCTTGGACCTTTGTTCATGTTCTGTGAGCTTTGATTTTTCTGATTTCATATATGTCTGAGGATCCGTATAACCATCGATTTATGTGTTATTTATCCATACTTTTTTTATGCCAATGTTGGTGACTGGAGATAACTCTCTTCAATTATTCCTGGGATGGGAGGGCCAGCAGAGACGAAGGCTTTTGTTGGTGGCCGTTTGAGTTGCCGGTGCTCAGACCTTCAATAAACCATGCTTGTGCCGTCTTCTGCATTTCTAGCAAGCGTTGTGATTCTGAGATTGAGTGTCAGAGATGGATCTGATTGCTCTTCGTCGTCGTCATCTTCATCGGAGATCTGAGCGGCTTTCTTCTTATTCTTCTTCTTTTCTTTTTTTCTTTTTTTTTTTTTGTTTCTATTTTGTTCAGTCTCTCTCTCATTCAGTTAAGATGGGGAGAAGCAAAGGTCCGAAAAACGATTTATGTGAATGTGAATAGTCTGTCTTTTATGGAAATTAATCAAGTTCTAATTAGGCTTTTGGATGTTCAGTATGTGATATTAATACAATGTAACAAAATAAAACTTATCAAACCCTTTAAATTCACATAACAATCAATAACGTTATTAATATTTGTCATTACTAACAAACAATATCAAACACCAATTACAATAAACCATATATACTATCAAATCCAACTCATCAATCTATTACACATTATGACCAATAACATTCAACCAAATGTTAAGAATCCAATTCAATCAAATGCAACCATCTCTAAGACAATCTTCCTACGTTACAAAATGAAAGAATTTTACCTCCTCAAATTGAGAATCATATAGCCTATGTTAGGAGTGTTCAAAAAAATACAAAAACCGAATCGAAAAACCGGTAAATCGAAAAAACGGTTCAAAAAATTCAAAAAATCAGATTTCTGGTTCGGTTACCAGTTCGGGAAAAAATAAAAAACGGTTAACTGAAACCAGTTTTTTGAACCGGTATATATATTAAAAATAAATAAAAATATATATTATATATTAAATAAAAAAACAATTTCATTTCGGACTTTTATTTGTATCAATTTTTAATGTATTGTTAGTAGTGGTTAATGGATATGTATGAATGTTTAATTTTTATTTGAATATATATTGTTTATATTTACAATTTAATTTAGGAAAAAAAAAAAAAAAAGGAAAACCGGTTAACCGCTTTTTTTAAAGTGGTTAACCGGTTTTTTAGTTAACCAAAAAATCAGTTTTCCCTCCAAACTAGTTCGGTTCAGAAAAGCGATTAACTGGTTCGGTTAACTGCTTTTGAACACCCTCAGCCTATGCCTCAGTATTATATATATATATTGATAAATATTTTTTGAGACTTTTAAAATAATAGAAATTTCCATTATTAAAGTGTTAAAAGAAACGGAAGAAAGCTAATTGGATAATGTTTACTATTTTATAAACGGAACTTAGGTCTTCTTGAGTAATACACCCAAGAGTTCTTATCGAATCGCCCGATCACCCAGAAGTAATTAATAATGTAAATTTTAATAGCTTATTAAAAGTTCGTTAATGATAATGGGATTTATGTTATTTCAAAAACTTTAGAAATTTTTTTTG